ACTCTAGAGGTCCCACATATATATATATATAAATATATATAAATATATATAATGATATAGCAATATCAAGTACGATATATATATATATATAAACATATATTTTACATATATAATTTATATATATATATATATATATATATATATATATATATATATATATATATGTATATACAAATATATATATATATATATATATATATATATATATATATATGTATGTATGTGTATATACATATATTAATATATATATATATTTATATATACATTTGTATATAACTATATACACACACATATGCATATGTTTATGTATACTGAAACCATTGTTATTCTCGAAAACAGGCACGAACGATATCAACTACGACATTGCCTGCTTTGTGTTTAATTTGGGAGCCTGTCATGCAAACCAGGCGAAGAATACCTCACTGAACGATGACGGTTGCAAGTCGGCTTGTCAGGCATATCAGGTATGTAAGGTGATGTCAGCTAGAGCTAGTATTGTATGTGGAAGCATAGACTCATCTATAAGCTACACGACAGGGTAGTGTCTGTCTGTTTACAATGTATGGGCGAAAGTAAAGGAAGTTATTGGCTTGCCAGGCATAGCACGTATGGGAGGAATTTGTAGTATAGGCCTTGATGTGTTGTGGAAGGTATAATTTAAAACTTACATATCAGCCATATATAGGAAAAATCAAGGGAAACTATCGGCTTACCATGCATATCAGACATGTATGGTGTTTGTAGATTAACTAGAAGGCGGAAGTGTATGCTTATCCACAAGCCATACGAATGCGTTTGTGTATTTTTTCGTCAAGTATATTCGGACAAAAGCAATTAGAAGCTATCGGCTTACCGGGCATATCAAATATGTAAAGAGTTTAGAGATAGTCTTTTTATAATATGTGGAATTGTACAGTTATCTATACGACATCGCTGTGCCTCGTCTCTGCACACACACTTATTTAAATAAATCATATCAGGTACTGGGTTTGATGCGGGCTTTTGACTTGCTTCTGCGACAGCGCTTTGTCTCTGTGGACCTATATATAGGCAAGGTCTCAATATACGCTATACGCTAGGCTGTGTTTGTGGGCGCATACGCAACCATGTGTAGCTAAGTTTATATCCCCCGCATAATGTGTTATCGGCATTTGTAAAGTCCATACAGACTTCTACATAAACAAAGTTGTACCAAGTTTCCCGTTAAATTTGTACATTATATATATTTGAATATATTGTTCCTCCGCCATGCGATGATTACGCTACCAGGAGTATTTCGCATGCTTTGTTCATAAAAATAATTCGCCGCTACCTCTCACTCTCCCCCACAGGCGGCTGCCGGGGCCTTCACTTATGTACGGGACGTATGTACTGTAAAGTTTGGGCGGTCGCCGCAGATGGATATGCAGATGGATGTCCTCTCCACTATGATTAGCATCATGTTGGGACAGGCCCAGGAGTGCTTTCTCAGGAAAGCGTTGTTAGGTAACATGTCGCCTGCGATTCTGTCCAAGTTAGCCTCGTCGGCGAGTGACTTCTTCACTGAAGCCGTTATACAATCGGCCGCTTCCGGGTGCAAAGGTGAGTGAGAGAATGTCTATAGCAATCCCTTTTTTTTGTCAAAACGCCT